CAACATTTATTCACTATTTTCATATGTTTATTTCAGTTTTTTTTATGAACCGCTATGAAATGGACATTTTCATAATCTATTGGGCATTCAAATTTATGTGTAAGGAATGCAAACCCTATCGTATTATATGCTTTTGTATTAAATTAATGAATTTATTTCTCTTTTAGTTCCGGACTATTTTATCAGCTCTCTCTTCTCACCTACCTCCTCCCTCTGTCCTCTTTCTCAACGATATTTCTACTCTCCCACACCCTCTCCGCTTCCATTCACTGGTTCAAATTTCTCTGCCTATTCTCCAAGTCAGAGCCTCCTCAGTCGATGCTCTATCTTCATCAGGTCCTCTTTATGTCCACTTGCAATATCTTATGCGTTAGTTGCTAGTACTTCCATTGCAGTTTCTCTATTTGACAAATTGGAACTGTTATGGAGTGTTCGCCGACTAAATTTTTGTTATAAGCAGACAATGCATTCAAAATAACATTTACCAGGAGTTTTGAAGTGAATGTTGGTGAAATTAGGTGGAGAATCTTGTGATTGAAAGTGAAAGTAGTAATTCCATTAGAAAAACTGAAAAGTTCATATAGGTAGCAAGATTAGTTAGTTCAGTGTGAGGTAAGCTTGCTTCTCGGTTTCTCTCTGGCCATTCCTGTATAGTATTTTATTAATGTGAGTTCCTCAAAGTTAATGTATGGTATTCTGTGTATTATTTCTGTACAATATTTTACAAATGGCCGTAGTTTGGAGTAATTATTATTGGTAGAGAAAGTACAGAAGGGTGAGGAAGCCAGTAAGTTTGAATAAAAAACCCATATATAATACATTTATACACGCATGCACATATATATAAGTAAATACACTGACATGTTTTCTACATATGCATTCATATGTGTGGACATGCATGTAGTTATATGTATAATATATGTATTTTATGTGTATGAATATGTTCGCATATGTGCATGTATCACCTTAGACCAGTTGCACAACTTCATTTCTTTTAGATGTCAGAGGTGTTCCAGAAGGTACTCAACATTGAAGGCTGCCAAAAACTGTTCCTAAGTGATCAGAGTGATAGAGTAACCTGCTTGAGTTGTCATCAATGCCCTACCTCACCTATAAGCATATACTTGGTAAGGATAACCTTCTGTTCAGGAATCACACCAAGTGTCGCAAAGGCCTTCTGCCAACTAATACTTAGCTTCCTCAAAAGTGGATGCTCCTGCAAAAGTAGATGAATTAAGTCTTTTACACCTCTCGATGTAACCCGAGTCCATTGTAGGTGGAGTTGGGTCCTGCTGAAGGGGAACTGAATTATGCTGGGGAGGAACTGGGTAGTTTTGTGGCAGCACCGGGTTGTACAGTGGAGGCATTAGATTGTACTGCGGGGGTGTTGGATGGTACTATGGAGGTACTGGATCCTCTTGATGTGTAGGTGGCTCATACTGTGGTTGGGATCAGGTAACTCCCTCCTCTCCTCCCTAGCCTGCTGGGCAAAAATCAATCTCTCAAGCATTTCGAAGAGCCAATCAACATCTTCTCGAAGTGATCCCTCTTAAGCTACTATGTTTAGCAAGGGTCTTCCTCTCCTTTCCTTACCTGTATTACATGACAATAATTGGGATTCTAATTGCATTAAATTTATTCTAACCTTATGTGTAATGAATGGTTATGAGGAATTTGGCTCTGATACCAACTGTAAAA